TCAAAAATAAATACATTCTTCAAGATTTTCATGACCACTGACATTTGCAAATATATCGACATCTATTGGCTCGATGGGTACCTTTGACTTGGCTCTTTCTTTCATTTTGAAGAAAAATTCATCTGTAAGAGACATGAAATCAATTAGAACAGCAGTAATATTAGCATTAAGAATAATAATAAAGATAGTAAACAAACCTGCATTAACACCAGCAAAAACTGGCTCTTGTAACCTTTTTGTCCATTCCTCTTGGCACGCATAACTTGACGAAAGAATAGTTCTTGCATGTAACAGTCGTCCTAATCGCAAAAACTGTCGATTAAAGCCGAAAAGGGACATTATCATTTAATTAAATAGTCACATGGAAAGAATAGTCACTTTGTTTACAAAAAAATCATGTTTGGCTATTTTCACAGCAAGTTTAATGCTGCTTAAATAAGACTATTTTCACAGAAAATCAGAGGCTATTAATTTATGTTTCTTTATTTATTCCTGATTTAATCAATTTAATTGATGAATTTCAACTGACAAAGCTATTTCGGCATAACCATCAAGTCTATCTAACCAACTGTTAGTTTGATTTTCAAGAATATTGACCAACCGTTCACTGATTGATGGAAGATTCAATTTACTTTTTGCACTTTAAATATTTGAATCGCTTGATTTTCATTAACATTAACCAACAAAAATCATGATCAAGATAATGTTAGTGCATTGATTTACTTATTTGTCTTGTACTCAGACGAAGCTTAATTGGAAGTGATGGGATTCAAATGGGCGAACATTTATCCCATTTTTCCGTGGGTTTTTAATAAAAATTTATTCAACAAAATCAAAAATTAGTTCAGTAACTCTACACTTCAATTGGAAATTAAGTTATATTAAGTTAATTACTGTTATGTTATGTAGAGTTACAATTGGATCAATTGTTGAGTTGATTTAAGATGAAGGTAAACTTAAAATTGACACAGTTGTTACATAAAATCTACTTTATTTTCACTATGATTATCAACTAAGTTGGTGGTTAGTTTTATGTACATTGAGAATTCATTTCCATTCAATTCTTATACCCTTTTTCATCTAACTTTTCTCTCCTTCCAATCCTTATTTTCTTCATCTTTTCCTCGTTCATTCGCTCATTCCTCGTGGATTTCCTGTCAGTCTTTTCTAGCTCTTTTTTTCCTGGTTGGCTACGGAAATGATCTAATCTAAGTTTCATGCAAATTAGTTAAAACTAAAGAACATCTTTTTTCCTTGTTACAATTCTTCCGGGGTACAAGGAAGAACGTCCTCGTTCTTTACAATAAAGGATTAATCTAAACTAATACAATGAATGGTAACTGATACATGAATAGGTTACTAAGTAAAATATATGTTTTTTGTGTAAAAATCATTAGGATCATCTGGCGTTGACCATCACCAATCTTTGACCGATAGACCACATTTTACCATATCTCTGATTTCTTCTGTAGTCGGAACTCGGCTTTGTTGTGTTAATCTGATAAATTCCATATATGCTTTCAAGGTGACCCTTGAATCTCTTTCTGGAGAATGCCCGTAAATTACTGAAGTAGGATCATCTCGTTTCAGTTTATTATGATCAGGATAGAAAAACATATCTATATTTTTCAATCCTAGCGGTTGGCGTCCAGGCCAAATCTGTTGAAGATCAATATGATCTATTTTATGTCGTTGAATTTCTGCTGTAGTTATTTGTAGTTTCTCAAAATCACTGCTACCTTGAGTAATCACTCTCAAACCATTAATGATAGTTAATATCTTTTGTTTCACTTCAGCGAAAGGAGTACCATTAATTAAATCTGTTATTTGCAGTCCCGTTATCCTTGTATTCGGATTTACAACTGTTACGTCTTTGATTTCAGCATAATATACCGTTTGAATTCTTTTAATTTTACCAAACCATCCTGATATATGGACATTTCCTAGACCTCCATTACCGTTACCTTCAATATCTAGAGCGACTGTTCGTTGCATTTGTTCTATTCCAATTGGTTCTAGTTGATAAATTAGTTCAGGGTTAAATTGATTAGGCGTTCTGAACCAGATTCGATTTTCAAATTGTTTTCTTTCTTGTCGTCGTATTTCTTTTCTTAATTGTCGATATACTTTGTATCTCGGATTAGTAGTTGTTGGAGTTACTAAGTTCAAAGTGAAAGGTTGCTCAACTTGTAATTCAGGACAAAATTTTCGTAGATGTAACTCGCTTGAACAATAAGAACAATTTTTACAATTCGGCTTAAGATGGTTTGTTTTAAAACAGATAGTGCAGTGTTGATTAGACAATGGAATGAGTTCAAGAGGATATTTCTGTTTCTGTTTATGGCTTAACTGGTTTTGTAGATGATTGATGTGTCTTTTCAGGCATTGTTCAGCTTTATTCATGTAGAATAAAATATTTGTTGAAACTGTAAGTTTTGTGTATCGGTTCATTTCAGGCGGAGTTCCAGATAATTTGAAATAACTTCGGTCAAGATAAGGACGTGGATGACCGTAATATCCAATGAAATGTTTAGCATATATGGACAAAATCAGATAACATTGAGTAATATAATATGAAGCATTTACGGGAGCTTGGAGTTGAAATCTTTGTGACTCAGAT